AATTGCACCCAATTAACCGTTTCTTCCGGGCTGTGGTTTCAAATGCATTTCTAGAACATCATGTATCAGCTTTGAACCTAATATCGTATTCTTAATTCCTTCCATTTCCTCGGTAAGTTGTATGAGCGGGCATTAGACCAGATGCGCGACTACGGTTTACGAATAGCAACATTAGCTTGTAGATGCCTTCGACACAATATCTTGTAATGCAATCGTCCAGAAAGACCTTATTTTGTTTTACGATGTTAAATCGGTCTCTTCTTAGACTAACTTCTCTATATCCGGGGTTATCAAACCGTCACCCATCCAAACTCTCGCGGTGTCTCGAGCTGATAACTTCGATTAACTGAGTTTGGTTAAGATCGGTTCCCGGCGCAGGTTAGGTACCGCACAGATTTTGTACCTCGGTGGTTGCACTTTCAGTAAAAAGTCTCAGCCGAAGATAGGGAGACTGAAAATCTAAATATGAACCTTAAGCACCAAAGACAAATTATCTAAGTCAAAATATGCAAAGTCTTACACAAAAATAACATATACGGATTGTGCGAATCGCTTTATCACTTCCTGCATATTTTACGCACCCACACCGGAAGAAGGTCGAGGAAAGCGAAATCGCGAGTAGTTTCCTGCATTGGTCTCTTCTACTATTCATAACTGTAGGTCGCTAAGGATGGTGAATTTTTTTAACAACCTGTATGTTGCAATAACATGGCAAGGAAAAACTGGTATGCAGTATACGAGTATATTGTGAATAGTATAATGATATATTTATATAAATGTTTTGATCCTAAATTCGTCACAATATGTTTTAGATCAAAATTAATGGACCTGATAACAGAAAACTTCCTGATTTTCACCCTCATCTTATAGTCGACATTTTATTCATCATTCAACTTAGTATTGTAAAATATAAGGGTTGAGGATTTCGAAGTTCAAGGAAACGTGCACGTACAGTATTTGTCTCCTTCACACACATTTTAACAATTTTTTATGGTAAATAAATAATGGTAGAGGGGGTCGCCGCCTACCTTCGGTCGTCTTATGAGAAGCTATGCTTTCAACATGTTACCGTCAGGGCGCTCGTTGAGAGGTACTAGTTAGTGAAATATAATTAACATGTTGGCCAGCACCGTTACTGGAATATTAGCCCAGTTATGCTGAAACTGGGTGTGCCTGGGTGAAGCCTAGCGGACGCCAGTGGCGGATTCGAAAGGGAGACACACTAAGTCGTGATCACGTCTCTTCTAACCGTTATAAAAATTCATATTCAGTTACAAAAATAAAATCAATTTGAGATAACGAGAGAAAATAAATATGTCTAGATATTTACTCAGATAATCAGTTCATAACGTGAAATTGCGATTCTTCTTCCTTTTCTTCTTCTTCTTCTAGACTTCATACTGCATTCTTCTGGACTGCACTATTCCTTACAGTAAATAATACGTCTTCATAACCAATCATAACAAACACATCCACAGTAGTTTTACCTCCTATGCTTCTCTTAATGTCTATTTTCCTTGCCTTTCCTAACTACAGTAGATCTTTGAAATAAAAATCTGTTTAATATTTTTTGCCAGACAGATATGGCCAGCTCTTCACTTTTTCACTTCCCTTATTTACATTTTTCTGTTATTTCAAAGGATACAGCACAATATACCTTTAGTTATTACCAAATCTTGGAAGTTGTTATTTGGAGATTTCAACAATATAAAATATTAAACTATGCTTCTTGAAGTTGATTTGAAGAGTTATGTCACGGACAGTGAATGGCGAGATAGAAGGCAGAAGAAAGTCCAAACTTGTCTGCAAGAGGCCATTTTGCAACGCTCTCTGGGAGCCATGGTTTAGAAGGTTGTATTTTAGAAGATTGATTCAAAGAAACTGTAATTAGTGAATGAACAGAGTTTAATTCTGTCATTGATTGCAAAGTAACAGGATCGTTAACAAAGGTGGCAGCAAAACCAATAGCCAATATATCAGGTGGACTTTTGTCATTATTTGGATGGTTAGTAGATGTATTCGGAATTAATAAACTACAATTATTTAGTAGCGAGAAAAAGAGTGTTGTCATATATTTATTTAACGTCAAAAATGGTTAAGAACTGAGTGACGTGCTACGAGGACTGATATTCCGTACAGGTAATTTTGGCATCCCTACCTTAGCCGTAAACAAGTTGAATTCTGAATACAGAAAGATATGAGAGTTTTGGCAAGAATTGATAAAAAACATTCACTTCGATGTAATAAAAATTATTTGCAAAGGCAAATCAGTTGTAGATTGATTTGGGCTTTTATCCCTCATCGTACCCTTCGTGAAGGAATCGACATCCTGCCGCTGCAACATGGAGATCGAAAATTTGAATAACTCTATTTCCCTCTGAACTCTAAAAGACGTGCACACATCATGAAGTTACATTTTTATGCAGAAGCAAAAGAAGGAGCCATCTCATCATCCTTTCAAATGATCAGAGAAACTAGACAAAAAACTTGACCAAAATGGGGGACATCGACCCAGAAGCTGAAGAACAATACTTGTTACAGGCTGTTTATAATTATACAATCCAAATGTTAATTAATACATTAAATATTGTTAAAAATAATATTCCTTTTTTGAAGATCAGAATAGTCTTTATAAATTGAATAAAAACAGTTACGCAGGAAATAAGACTTTACGTGGAAGTTGAACTTGTGTAACGATTTTAATCGTGTAATGTCATTCAAGAACGTGTAATAAAATAATGTGCGTATGTTATATGTCACATTGTAGAGAGCTGTTGGTTGATTTATATTTCTACAAACCAGTACAGTACGTTTTACTTTATTTTAGTAACTGAGGCACTGAAGAGATTAGTCGTGAGAATAATTCTTTGATTTAACTTTCAATACTTGTTCGAAGTTGAGAGTTAAAACGCAGGAGTAATGATTGCAAATAATTATGAGAAGAAGAAACGTGGGGGTAACTTAAAAACGTTTGGCATAAGTGTTTTGGGGTTGAATAAGCATTATGGATTTAGGCACCACCTATATTCTTAGTGTTGGGGTGTGTTACCTGGATGTTGCGAAACTAAAGTGGATGGTTCGACATAACTTTGGATATTTACAGGATTACTAAATTTGTTTGATTTTTAACAAGAACGGAATTATTCGGTTTTGTTTCCATGGTACAAGGTTAGCAAAATGTGGCAAGTCTCGAGAAGATGCACGGTGATTTGTATCTACTAAAGTCCTTGTGGTAAACACACGAGGATACAATTTGATTAGATAATTGACACTGGGACCATTGGTGGCTATCTGGATATTAAACCTAGTTTGGATTACGCCTCAATTGTTTTTGGTGTGTCCATAGTCTTGACATTTGCAAACTGCGCGGAACCGGGTCTTGTACGCCTCAGTTTCACTTCCACTATACAATGAAACAGTATTTTTAATTCATTATTGTTCTGTCTTAGTCCGACCATCCCAAAGAATGGAAACCAGAGATGTTGGCAGTCAAAATACGTACATTTTGTTCACTTGCTTAACCAGGTAATATAATGAGTTTGCAGTACATCGGTTCCTTAGAATGACGGTGGAACTTGGCACATATATTACTAGTGGTTTGGATCCAGGAAGGGAGTAGGAGTGATACTTAATATTGTGCATATCAAGAAAATTAGTAAGATTACAATACTCATCGCTGGTAGTTGGTCATACTTTTACCTTACACTTTTGTTGCACTTCAGCACTTAAGAGTTTAGTTCTGAAGGGTTTTTTCCAGTGCACTAATAAATATTTGTTCATTTCATGGTTGATATGTACTGGCGGAATTTGTTTTCATGATTGTGCTGGCAACTGTGGAGATTCTTGTTCCCCGTAAAATTATACTAATATGGCGAAACGATTCGAATGATTGATAAGTATTGCTTAACCGGGCATGCAGAGATTGTTTAAATCATATGGATCGATTTGTATTTTTTACAATGTCTCAAGGGTTGGCTCGCCTTTTTTGTGGTATCGAAGCATTTGAAGAAGGAATATTTTGCAGAACTGCATGTTCTGATTGGTTGGTAAAAATATCCTTTTATTACTGTTGTTACTGAAGCTTGTTAGCGTTATTTACAATACACTGTTGAGGATTTTGGTATTGAGTAACTGCTGGTAACTGGTTTTGAAGAAGCACATTGCATGTATCTGGTCGCTCGCTATCTTTCGGCGTACTCTGTGGATGTCCATGATGCTCGCCAGGTAGTCCCGAAGACTACACCTTCGTCGCTACGGTGGCCGTGGCAGTTACATTTGTCAGAGTTGTTGATTTTGAAATTGTTATATCAGTTGTAATTAACACTGCCGTAGAAATTATTCTTGGATTTTCAGTTGGGTTTATGGATGTTCTTTGGTTGCCTGAGCGTCGTTTATTGGGCTTCTTCGTCAATGTTGTGTAGTGCCAGTAGGGCACTAGAATAGTTTGGCCCGTGTCAGACCAACTGGTTGTAGACACGCACTGGTTTTAGATGTAAGATTGCATTAATTTGCACTGGTTTTAGATGAAAGATTACAATTATTTCACAATTTTTAAAAACACTGTCAGTTTGACAGTCAACCCTATTATGCTGTTGAAAACAGCCGTGGCCCTAGCTGTCGCTAGGTACGAATCACTTGGTGGGGCGGATACACCGCTCGAAAGTCAAATGTTCAATAATACCTAATTTTACGTATTATTTAAATTTACTCTGAATAGAGAACGCTGTCAACAATTAATTACGTAAATTTCAGGTAGATTTAGTAAAAAATCTTTAAAAACTCTGTAAGAGTGATGGCGGAGAAGAGTTTTCTTTTTATTTCCTTATTTAACGCCAAGAAACAATTAAAAGCTGTGTGTGACGTTCTGCGACGGAGAAGTATAATTTGTGGCACTTAAACGTATTATCACGATTTTGAATCTAAGCTAATTAAATGGTGTTATTTTGTGATTACAGTTCAACTTCTGGACACGCCCAGTTCTCAACACCACAGTCGATATTATGGTGTCCCCATACCTACGCATCGACTTTCGTGACCTGGCACGATCTGTAGGTCTCGACGTCCAAATTTTCATCGAGGATGTCCAAAAGTAAGTAATTCTTATATGGATTATCTCAACTTCTATTTAATATCGAGCTGATTATACTCTTGTCTCTGAAACGTAAATAATAGAGATTAGTGTGTTAAAATAGGAAAAATATCTCAACGTAAATGGAGGACGAATGCTGCTTCTAATAAGTATTCTACGCGCCACATAAATGAAGCAAACATGTACTTTAAGCTCCAAATACCGTTTTTGAATGTTCATCGTAAAACTGTTGAGAAAATAGATTAAAATTAAGAACATGATTAGCATATGTATGGTAAACGCGCTTAAACATATTTTGCGAAAGAAACGTATCCATCATTTCTCGGTATCTCAAAAAACATGGAAAAGTTATAGTGGCTCTAAAATTGATCGTCCGCTATGTAAGAAAATACGAAATGGCATAGAAAAATAATATTTACTGCAGAATTGGTAGGTACAAAATAAACATGAAGGCACAGCTTGAAGGCAAACATTCTGGATGCATATATTACAAGTATATGAAGAACTGTGTGTGGTTTTATAAAGGTTCTGGTAATTTCAGGCAAATGTTTAACCTTTTATCTTCAGCTTGGACTTTCTTTTTCTTCTTCTTTATTTGAAAATTATTCTCCCCTGGCCACGTATTTCCAATTTCGACCAGTAGTTTTCGATATGATTACAATCACGCGATTGTAACGGCGTTTCAAATTGCTTTGGTACACAATGGATCAACCACAATATCGTTATTTGCACTTCGTCAGTGAGGGCATTGTTCTGCTGGATGTAATATGTCGGCCCCATTCCAAGAAATCAATAAATATCAAAATTTGTCAAGCGCAGAATCAATCAAATGTAAATCCCCGACACCCGACGCTGATACGCAGCCCCATACCGTTACAGAGCCTCTGATATACTTCACAGTGGCACATAAGATTTGTCATCTACGGTTGCGTAATTTCTTCACACTTACTGTTGTCCGTGTGATTCAAACATCTTAAATTAAATTCAAAACAGAAAAGCGCGGTCAATGGACAGTCAGCAGCCCATCAAGACTACAATTAAAACTTTCGAATTCGAGGATTTGTTTTTCAGTCTCGGTTTCCGGTTCATCGCTGGCGGTGATATTAATGTTAAACACCTCTTACGGGGATGAAAAATGATAACCTCTACAAAAAGAATTATACCCAGCGATCAGAAATCAGTACCTGTAGACCTTTTCACCGGGTAGTCAAACATATTGGCCTACTGGTATGAATAAAATACCAGACATCCGTGAATTTTTTATCCCTAAAGAAATATTTCAAGTATTTAAGTATCTTGAATTTGACGCCTCATTAGACCTACAAAAAAACCTTTTCTCAATAATCTAACAAACCATACTCTCATCCGGCCGGTCAAACAAATCTATGTATTCCAAAAATGGACTGGGAAAATTCACGGTATTTCTGAAGGAAGGTATGACAGCAAAGGTTGTCATCACCCTATAGACTTGTCATGTCAAGGTCGCGGGAAAAATAACAAGCTTACTAAAGCTCGAGGGCACTGGTGCAGGAGACATTGGCTCGAGATTTAGTAAGGGTTGTACAAATGCTACGTATTGGCGGTACGTACTGTATACTTGGCCCATGACAGTCATTGGGAGAAGTTACTTGACTGTTATTGCCATAAATTTAGCAACATTAATTGATCTTTTCTCGTTGAGGTAAATAAATAATCCATTCAAATAACACAATACATTAATCCGATTTCTAATTCTCAATTGAGAGTAAAATTAAAAATTTGAATCAAACATATCACGATTTTATAATCCTGTGTAGACTTATGAGTGACGTAAAAGAATGAGCAGTTGTTGTGGCAATGCAGAAACGAAGCGATTTATCGGCCGTGCAAAGGGTATGATCACTGGCTTTCGGGATAAGGGCGGAAACATTTCCCAAACGGTCAAGTTTGTATCGTACAGTAGTGGTTCAAGTACACCGTGCATGGAAAAATGTCGATATCCAAAACGATCGCCGAGACTACTGTGGTGCATCACGGGCCGTAGATGACAGGGCAGAACGACGGCTGCGGAGATATGTACGGGCGGATACACATGCTACAGAAGAGCAACTGACCGCCCAATTGAACCGAGAAGCCACCAACAGTCTCCTCAACAAGCATTCAGCGAACGATACTGCGACGGGCCTGCGCAGCAGGAGCCTGATTCATGCACCCACGCTGACTGCTGTTTAACAGCGACGAAGGCTGAAATTTGCACGCCATACCGCATCTGGACATTCACGGAGTGGCATGAAGTGACCTTTTCAGATGAATCCCATTTTCTGTTCTTTTGGACACATGGTCATAGGCGTGTTCGGCTTGAAACGTCTGAACGCAAACACCTTGCAATAATCACCGGACGGGTCCAGGCAAGAGGACGGAGCGTGGTGGTGTGGGGAATGTTTTCGTGTCACTCGAATGCATTCCCTGGGATGCAAATCGTTTGCACTTGGCGTAACACCATCTACCAGCAGGACAACGCAACGTGTCATACAGCTTTGCAGTGCACATGCGTGATTCAAAGAGCACCAGCACGAGTTTACAGTACTCCGCTGACCGCCAAACTCCCCCGATTTAAACCCAATCGAGAATCTGTGGGACCATCTCCATCGGGTTGTTCGCGCCAGGGATCCGCAGCTAATGAACATAGCGAAGATGATCACGGCACCGGAGTCGGCATGGCTCCACATCCTTGACAGTACCATCCAGAACACAATTGACTCACTTCCTGCACGTTTCGCAAGCACTGCAAAAGAGGGATATTCCGGATTTTGCCAGGTGGTCACATTAATATTTTTGGTCTGGGTGTCTTCTTACGAAGTACGTGTGAGAGAGTAAAACGTATTCAAATCAACAGTAGATTACTCTGACATCTTGCCGGTATTTGTTACAGGTTAATACAAGATGAGAACCCTAAGACGCGCTCGAGCACGTTTGGCTGGCAAGCTTACTACCCGTTAACTGATGTAAGTTTACAGACTTGTTAGAAGCACTAATAGAAAATCTGCGTTTGTATGAATTGTGTGTAAGTGTGTTTCAGGTGGAGTGGAATTAAATTTCCGGAGTTTCATGCGTCAAAATTAAATGGTATTTTCTTATTCATCATACAAGTACATTATATGATCCATATTATTTCATTCTATGGAATTGTTTATTTCTCTCACTAATTCTGATGTCGAGCTTTTAACTTGCAATGCTAATTTGCAACCTGATAAGAATATTCAATTTTTTATTCAGATATGAGTAATAAGTTTTTACTAATAATTTGGAAATTTCGTCATATCCTAGAGTCCTCAAAATGTCTTATATTCATTTCCTAACTAATTTGAGTGTCATCAAACTGTGTTACATTAAACATTTAAAATAAAATGTTTTCTCAATTCAAGATCATCTTGTTCTAAAAGTAATCTATTCCCTTCTTTTTTTAAATTTTCTTTCTCACAATTTGTGGGTACCCTCTACAGTAGTGGATACATTTTTTAAATTATTTATTTTAGCTCGCTTTATATACATCCAAGGTCATTAGCGACCACTACATTGTATAAATTATATGTATTAATTAATATATTAAATAATGTATATACATTTTATAAATTATAACTAACAGAAATATAAAAGACAATAAATTTTACAATAATGCAGATCATTTTCTAACAGCAGTATTAAGATAATAAAACATTGACTTGCAACCTTCAAGTGAACTAAATATTTCATATGTATATCGTTTTGGTGACAAGATTTTCTTTGATTTTGGAGCCTTACACATTCAAGGATAATATCAGATGTTGATATCATTCCTCCACATTTTGGACTGGTGGCTGGGATTCATTTTTATTGCAATTAAAAAACAACAAATTTACTGTAATTTACATTCGTTTCATATTTGTTAAACTAATTGTAAAGTTCTGTACGATTAATCCTACATTTTCACAAAACTCACTAGTTATTTTGCATTTTTCATTAAATTAAATTATTTTTACTTCTTACACTGTAATCTCTTTTTACTTGACTGTCGAATTTGACTTTAGCTACCATGTGTAGGTATATGACTGGCTCAGATCTCTTGAAACAACATATGAAGATAGAGTGTCAATTATCAACATTGGGAAATCCTACGAAGGACGCGATATTCTCGGAGTAAAGATTTCTTCCAAGAGAGAAGGAAGCAAAGCTATCTTTCTGGAGTCTGGTGAGTATTAAAACGAATTTCCATTAAAAAGCGAAGTTTCAATATGGCGAAAAATATGGCACTGTGAAATTGCCACATAAAAACGTTTTAGAAACACTGTAACGCATGCACAATAATAGTTTGCTCTTATCTTATTAATTCTAAGTGAAGGTTATACTGCACAGCAAAGCAATTAATTCCTAACATACTATAAAATTACTATGTCTTATGAAATTACTTTAGAAAAAATATGATTGTAACATTATTATTATTATTATTATTATTATTATTATTATTATTATTATTATTATTATTATTGTTAAATTATTATTATTATTATTATTATTATTATTATTATTATTATTATTATTATTATTATTATTATTATTATTATATTATTATGCAAATGTTCTTTTGTTTTTTAACAATCATGAAAATGTTTTTCTTCAAACAAATATTTTTATGGTATTTTTATTTTAGAAAGAATATTGTCATAAATGTTTGTGAAAAGATTTTACTCTAACATGGTAGTAATCCATTCTAACCTGCTATTAATACCATGTTAGAATCAAATCTTTTCACAAATATTATATATAATATTACATTGTTCATCACGGAAATACCACAGTTATTTCCTGAAAATCACAGCAAGTTCACATACAAATTCTGTTTATTTTGGAGTTATCTACCAGATAAAAATTTAACAATCTCTCCAACCTCCAGATTGTTCACCGGATACTTTAACAACTGGATAGAATTATCAGGCACTCGTAAAACACAAAATTGCAACATTTCAGTAAGATAACTTCTGGACATGCTATCAGACACTTTATCAGGCACCGGTGAAACAGGCAATAAAACTCTTTTAAATCCGGACCCAGGACATAAATAAAGAAAAGGGAGAGTAAAAAGGAGGTCCCTAGAGTGCGCTATTTACCTAGATCAGTTCAGTTACTGTCTGGAGGAGAATTCTAGCGGTTGGTTGATCTAATAGTTTTTGGATGTTTCTCCGATAAATATCAGGTAAATGCCAGAGAAGTAAGCTAACAAACGTGCCACAGATCATGCGCGATTTTTGCTTCGTCTTCGTTACCCTATCCTCTCCTCTTTCTTGCACACTCATTCTCTTACATGCACTACGCTACCACATCTGTAGGCAGACCAGTCGGGAGCTTAGATTTTGTCTCGGGTGTGACAGTGCCGGTGCGGGGGGAAATACCTGGAGGAAACCCCCCCACATGGCGACGTGTAAGCCAGCACCGGATCTCGTTATGAATCGGGACCTCCACCTCTAAACATAAAATCATTCATTGATTAATGGGAGTAATTACCATAGCTGCTGACGTCTCCGGAAACATCAATCAATCCGCATTATTTCGGAATAGTTTCGCATATTTTACTTATGTAGTGGTTATTGCTCGATTTTGGATTATTGTTTTAAGGGTTTCCTTGTAGGGATTGAGTCTGTTGACGTGCTGGTAGTTGATGTTGATGATATTGAGGGTAGATTCAAAAGTTCATGCGTTTGCCTCGGCCGTTACACCAGAACTTCCCAACGTGTCGGTATCGACTCCCTAGGGATCGATGTCATTTTAAAAGAGGTCAATGATGATCAAGGGGTCGATTGTAAGTTGAGAGTTTGACCAAGCGAGTGATCAGTATAATCTACCAAGAGTTTATTAATTACAAAAGTTGATAATAAAATGAAAATTATTTATTTTCCGATATTTTTTGTTTCTTATATGGTTTCCAATAATAATAATAATAATAATAATAATAATAATAATAATAATAATAATAATAATAATAATTTGTAATTTTTCCCCTTTTGGAATTTAACTTCATTCACGGGAATGAAAATCGATATTTTGTGAAATTACAATTTGTAATTTTGCTTTTAAAAACCTATTTTATTTATAAAATAACTGCTCTGCTATATTACACTATTACATTAACAGTCGAAATTGTTTGCTGACAGCAAAAATTATTTTCCGCACCGAGACCTAAACTCAAGTCTTCCGAGTTCACTCACCATGAGCCATACTTCTACGCTATGTGTCGCATAAATGTCGTCAGTTTCGAACTCGAGCCGACGCTCAAAAATGTAATTCTATTAACCTAATATTTCCAACACACAGTTTCTGCAACTTTCGAAATATACGGATACTGCACCGAATATGGTACTATCACCGTATTTTTACTTTGTTACGAACGAGCAGAAATTTTATTGGAAATTTTTTAAAAAAAATAATTTTATTAGGAATTGCATACGTTTCAGAAAAAATTAAGCAATATATACTAACTTTTTCACAACATTGGGGATTCTGGCTTCGCCTCGTGTTAGAGGAAGTAATTTACTATATATATATATATATATATATATATATATAGTATCAGTATATAGGATCAGGATTTATCCTTTTTTGTTAACAGGGCTCGTCAAAAAGTTTTCTGTCGAAAAATCACATGATAGGTAGCACATTATACTATACTTTCTCTTCTTACATTCGTAAAGGCGAGAAAGTAAAAATTTATAGGGGTCGATCAAGCAAACTTTTCTTTTAAAGGGTATCGATAACCGCCTAAGTTTGGGAATCCCTGCGTTACACAGAAGGTACACAATTTCAAATGATTTCAGTTTTGGAAAAGTTATCCGATTTATATCAGGGAATTAATATATTAAGATATTACATTTTCATACAACGATCGTGTATGTCAGGCATGTCAAGGACACGGGCAATGTAACAAGCTTACTAGAGCTCGCGGGCAATGCGGCCAGAGAAATAAGTGAGAGATTTAAAAGCAAGAATTGTACACACGCTCCGTCACTGGATACCTGGCCTATGACACTCTTTGGGAGACCGAACTTGACAGCTATTGCCACAAATTTAGCTATATTCATTCCCATTTTCTCTTTAAGGCAATGAAATCATCCACAAAATTATATAAAACATCAGTCCGATATCAAATTTTTAATTGAAATTGCAATTCAAAATGTGAATCAAAAGTATCTTCACTTTGTAATCCTGTTTATTTCAGAGTGATATAAAAGATTTTAATCTTCTACATTCAGGTTAGAAAGTTTAATAGACAAGTATTCTTGTTTATTAAAAGCGCCGTGTGTCAGTAAGCGAGAATTGTTTACTTACAGACACTTGTTAATTTATTTCACATTATTGCTAAAATACAATAAATAACTGAATGATTTAATAACAACACAAAAAGAAAACATGGAGGGAATTCGCCATTCAAACATATTCCAGTCACTCAGCAAAGATGTTTATATTAGGGAGAATTTAGAAAGAAAATAAAAACCAAATAATAATAAGTAGTGAAGAATATAAACATAATACAATTCTCGGTAATTTGATAGAAAAAATCTGAAGAACATATTTTTAAATGAAGCCACTATTCACCGCCTCCCGCCGCTTCAGCTTGCGCGCATACACCTGTTTCTGGATTTAAAGGGGAAATGAGTGCGGAGTCAGGAGAAGTTGCCCGGAGCGCCGGGCTCCCGAGGTGGGAAAGTAGTTCGTGCGGGCGCGGTTTGGCGTGCCTGGTGTATGGTATACAATTATGTATAAATAATTTTATCGGGAATGAATATATTTACGAAAATATGTTTCATTACGTTAGACTACGAGCTACTTTCTTAATGCTTAGGGGGGGGTGACCTAATTAACGTAAATAAGTAATATTGGTTTTCGAGGAATCTTGTCTGCCCGCGTGACGCCTCGTCGAACGCTGTGATGCCGACGTTTCGGCCATCTTGTTATGGTCTTTCCGAGGGCAGATCTGCAAAAAGGGCTGGTCTGCTGGTTGGAAAACCAGCCCTGACGAATGCCACGACAAGAGGGTCGAAACGTCTGTATCATAGCCCTCGCCGCGGCAACTCCTGGGCAGCCAAGAACAGTCACAAGACTCTGGTCGCGGAAGCCAAGGACTTCATTTAATATTGGTTTTCCTTTTATTACAGGAATTCACGCCCGCGAGTGGATCACTGTAGCAACAGCTACTTATTTAATTAACGAGTTACTGACCAGTGACAACGCAGGCATACGGAATATATCTGAACATTTTGATTGGTACATCGTTCCTAGCACGAATCCGGACGGCTACGAGTACACTCATAGCACGGTAAGTGATTTGGATAATAGCGTGGTTTGAGGTTTTCGAACGATGGGCTGTTTTTGTACGATAATTGAGTACATCCGTGGAAGAAAGTTGAATATGACAATTTTATCAAAAAAGCTTTTACGGCGGAAAAACGTTGAATGAGTAAGACTTCACATTACAGCTTAGTCAAATTCAGGATAATGTAACTTTGTCAGTTGGTACCGTAATGTTTATGTTCCACGGAAAACCTTGGTCGCTGTGGCAAGATGGCTGACCGTAGGGATTTCAAGTCATCACCTTCGACGATGAATAACATGAATAGGTGACGAACGTGGAATGCTTCGATAAGTCGAAGGATAATCTTTGGAAGATAGCTAGAAACGGTGGGAAGGAATATTCCAATAGAAAAGGGATGCATTTATCTTTAACATGTCCTTCTCGTTGATGTAAGTGCAAGAACGTTTATTTTGATAAGCAAATTGCAGTTGCATGTTCTTGAATTTAAAGGGAACTACTCTGAAATACAATAATAAAAATAATATGAAATGCATATTTATCATAAATATTAATATTTCTAATAAAAATAATTGTTATTATATATTATTATAATTATTATAATAAGATATAAACCAATAAATAAGGCTAACATGATACTTCAACTATTTATTTAAATGAAAATTCATTTATTTATAAAAATATTGTTTATTGCGTTCTCAATCAATATAAAATATTTCCTTATTCAAAAGAATAATTTATAATATCAACGTTTTTCCATGGGAAAAAATGTATAGGTTGCATGGAACACAAAGTCAAATTCAACGTTCTTCCATTGATAGCGCAACAAAACACCAAATTTTATGAAAAATATTCATACACAAAGTATTTTAAAAAATACATTATTATTTTCTATACTACGCGCGTGTTTTGCTTATTTAGAAACTTCTAAAGAAATTATAACACTAAATAATCCTTTTTTAATTCCTGAAATGTCCTGTCACATCCAACGTTCTTTCACTGAGGGACTCAATTATATCCTTAAGCCTTATATCCTCAATTATAGCCTTTACTCGGTAGTATAGTGGTCAATGTATTCAGATAATAACGTGGTTTTAAGTTTTGAACGATGGGATGTGTTTTTGAACGATGATTTGGATGATTTCGCCCCGAGAGGAGTCAACACAAGGGCAACACCTTGGCGTTACAGACGTAGTTACGAAAGATAATGTAATTTTAAGGGAGTTCTATGAGGTAATTCATTTTATTTAAGTACGTCGTGTGATAAACTATATTATATATATATATATATATATATAATATATATAATATATATATTATATATATATATTATATATATAATATATATATATATATATTGGTGACGTACCTGGAAGCGGTACTTTCACGACAAATAAATTATGCAAGACAGGTACATTTTCGTGAATGGGTCTCCAGGAATTTGCGCAGCATAGAAGATAATCGTTATAGATTCTTTTGCACATCTAAATATTTTAATGATCAGAGAACACACTTTACAAACAGTATTTACAAATCGCCAATGCGCAGGCTTGGAAACAAGCGCACGGTCAACGCTACCTTGATGTTTTAAAACCACCTGCTTCCTCTGGAGGCGACCGGGGCCGTCGTGGCAGCGGCGGCGGTGTCTTCGGTAATCTTCGGTTCGCCCCGAAGTCCGCCGGGAATTCGCCCTCCCTCGGCGACCAACTCCTCTGGCCCAACGTAACGGCCGATGAATTCGCCGGGGTCTCCCAGCCGGTGTGAACAATGTCCTCACGGGTATTGGAACGCACCGACGCGTTATTGATGGTCGTCGCTGTTCTAGTCTTTTCGCGACCTTTCTCCACTTTGCGGGATGTCCGTACAGTACTGCCCACTGTTATTATACCAGGGCGGGATTACAATCACCTCCACCGGCCACACGATTTCCTGTCTTATTGGTTTTCATCAGTTTCTGGTGCGCAATTCTACTTCCACTAATCATCTGCCTGTTAATCTTTAATCAAACCTGGTTCCACATTCAGCGGCCACACTCAGTCCGAATTTGCACTTAACAACGACAATAAATCTCTTGGACCGCAGCACTGCGCCGTCCGTGCTTCACTCGAGGCCTCTCGCGCGCAACACTAACCGTCGCTCGCCTCGCCGTTTCCCCCCCCCGATTTGACCGTTGGTGGCGGCGGCGGCGTTACTGCGCTGATCAACTCCAGTACTTTTATTTTAATTTATAATTAGTGATCAATTTTATTTGTTCTAATTTCAGAAACGTTCTTCGTTTTCAATATATATATATATATATAAATATATAATATATTATATATATATTATATATATATATATACATATATATATACATAGGGTATAGTTTAATAATAATAATATTTTTTCTCGCAAATAGGCCGACGAGGACAACGCCTGCATACACCCTGCATTTACCGTGGCCCAGTATCATTATCGCGGTGGCAGGTGCATGTAACTTTTTAATTGGGGACCAGCATTTAACAGAGTCCGATTTTTATTTCCCAGAATTCTTAGTCTTGGGGGTATGGAAGATGAAATCATGATGATAATGAGAGGTGAAAGGACGACACACTCATACAGACATACACAAATACACCCATGCACGAGGCGAGACTCGAACCTACGATCATCTGGTTCAAAACCACTACGGCACTACCGCCTTAGCGATCTCGGTCATCTGATCAGCAAAAATATTAATAATTATTATTATATTTATAATAATTATTATTATTAGACGGTATCCCTACGGCAACAGATTTACAATACATTTACATTAACAAAACAAAAACAATTTAAAATACAACACAAAAAAGTTTTTGTGCAACACAGTTTTTGAGAAAATGTATCGTATTTTCGAAAAAGTTTACAAGACATAATTTCAGGATGTCTTTGAACAACAGGTATCATTCAGGAAAAAAGTCCTTTCTTCAGTCCAAAGAAAGTTTAACTACAACTAGTAACAGCATGTACAGCCATTAGTAAAGGATAATTGATATTATTTTACCGAAATTTTTGTCCGTATTAACACATCTCATCATTTATAAAATTCATTACAAATCGTAGAACACTAAGTGCGAACTTTAGCTCTTTTAAAGCTGATTTATCAACACATATTCGACAATTAAAATTGCGTTTCATGCATATTTAACCTGACCCAACAATGAGAAGGAATTCTTAGAATTCTCAACTGTTGTCTCGGCGGAGCGTGCGTCGTGGACTCATTCCAGTCACATATCTCCTATGACTAGCGAATGGGGCGCGAGAAATTCGAATTTGCAACATCGGAAATTGGAATTAGACTAAACTACTTCTATTTTTTCTTAACTTGACATGACCTTTTTTAAAGAACTGTTGAGAACAATTTCATTTAACAATGAACTATCATCAATATTGTGCTTTAGCAATGTTAATATTTTATTGTTTGATATTTTCAACTAGTTGTGCTGCAGTTTTCTGTCCGTGAACAACGCTAGCGGCTAAGCCGTTCAGCAGATGTTCTCCAAAATTGATATTTCCCAATGTATCTGGCTGGTATCAAGGCTCCATTAATTTGAAACTGATATTTTAATTTTGATACGTTGCATGAAGCCCCGGGACCATTTTCCAAATTTTCAACAAAATGGCTCCATTAACATTTTTTTATTAAATTTTGTTATTGGATAGTATGAGAGACGTTAAGAGAATGGTGCAGGTCTCATGTTCGTTGAACGTCTTGATTTTTGAAAATTCAAAAGTTCAACATTCCTTCGTATCTTCCTATAACTAAAATAATAAAAATATAATTTTTTCCCTTAATGAAATCCTTAACAATAAATTTTGAAATCAGGTCATGTACAGTTTTTCGAAAATTTGAGTTCTTTGCGTGAAAATAGGTAGGTGCTGTTTTAGCACCACTAGTTCGCGCAGCATATAACTTGCCATCTCTTCGTAGAGAGAAAGTGAAAACACGGAGATATTGCAGAAAATGTTATCAGCACCACATTCTTTTTTGTTCTTTGCTGCAAACGAGATAAAAATATAGAGAAAAATTACAGTAGTTTATCAGAAAGTAATATTGTTTAAAAGTTGCCTATTATGCAAATTACGCAAAAACTATTATCGTTTTTTTGAAAAACTGAACGTGACCTTATGACATCTATTCTTGAAGAACAAAACTGATTTAATTTAAGGAAAAATTTATATCTTCAATATTGTAGTTGTAGGAAAACTAAAAACAATTAAACTTTCACAATTTTCGAAATTTTAAAGTTCAATGCAATCAAAGCAATTTTCTTTGCCGTTATTTCCTTTCAACGAAAAATGATTTTTAAAAAATTGAACAGTTTTTGAGACAAAATTTTTAAATTTTTTTATTGCCGTTAATTCACACAAAATTGCGCAAAACCACTCATCTTTGCAAAAAGGAAACCTCACTATAAGGTGATTTGTACGAAGTAAGACGAGAAAGTAATAGTAAAGAGAAACGTTCAAATTGCCCCAATCTCTTCCAGTCCGCAAAAGGAGCTGCAGACACATTTGGACAAGTTCGATTGAATCAAAAAGAATGAGCATCTTAAATTTGGGAAAGGAATCTGTTGAGCCCTCTTAGGAGTTGATTGCAACAATGATAATTTGAATACTCGTACTATTTTGAAGAATCTCTTATTAATTTAATAATTCTACAAATAAAACGAAGATAAACTGTCACTCAAATTGTTGAAAAACATTCTATCTTGAACAGGACAGGCTGGCTTTAACATAATTATAAATTATAGGTGGTTAGTTTTCGATATAAGAATATCGGCACCAGTAAAACAGTTTCTACGGAATAGGTATCACAAACCCTGTAAACATCCCATATTCGTTTTTTCGCTACTTTTCAGAAGAGGTGTGTGTATGTGTGTGTGTGTAGATATATGTATGTAGATATATGTATGTATGTATATATATATATATATTATATATATATATATATATATATATATTTATATATATATATATATATATGCGTTATTTTCTAAAAGGTAGCAAAAAGTGTGTGTTTATGGGGTTTGTGGCACCTCTAAACACATTTTAAAAACGATTTCATTGGTGCCCAGGTTTTTGTATCCATTATTTTAAATAAGGCAAGGAATTATATTTTTGTCGATACAGAGTTCATTTTATGATTACACATAAGATAACACTACACAATATGGCATGTAATTGGGAATATTAAAAATATTTTATATTTCTTTACAGTATCGCATGTGGAGGAAGACCAGGTCTCCAGGTGACAGATGCTATGGTGCTGATCCTAATCGAAACTGGGGAATCGAATGGAATAGTAAGTAGACAAATAAATATGAAATATTTGATAGGAGTAAAATTGATTTTATTTCTAAATGCCAAGCTTAATGAACAATTGTCAAATATGCGATATTATGGAAATCACTTCTTGAAAAGTATAATACGGACTGTACAATAGGTTTAAAAAATTTAAAACGGAATTTGCAAAACTAGAAAGGGTACAGTATCTGAAAGAAATATCGGCGTGCATGCTAAATAGTCTGGGAATACCGTAGGAAAAAACGAGTCACAGTTACATTGCAGATAATGAATAGAAGTTCAAATAATAGAACTGCATTGGATTTACATTACTTTCTCTTTACTACGAAAGTACGTAAGACGAGAAAGCAAAAATTTCTGAACATGCGTGCATCAAGCAGATTGCTTTAGGATGGTATAGAACTGATGATTGCACAAGGCGTCACGAGTGAAGCAAGCTTGCCATAAATATAGTTACAATAATTGCCACTAAGATAAAGTAACAGACATTTGGTCCAATGAAGCCGATTTTTACGGTATCTTAATAATCGCGCGAGTCTACCAGTGATGCTTCTTGTCTCTAAAAGATTGTTTTATTTTCTATTGTATTCTCACATGATGTTCCGATGAGATTATGCAACGGAAATTTACATTCGCGCAAACACCGCGGAATTTTAAAATGCACAACATTTTCTTCCAACAGCTAAGAAGAAAACGATTGAGAAATTTGTTATTTGTATTATTAAGATGAACATACTTGAGTGCTTTTAACCTAAAATACCCCACACTGGGACATTTTGGGTTTATCCAAATTAAATATATCGAATATTGAACTTCTTGACATCTTTTTATTGGGTTAAGATCATGTTATACACTGTAAAACTTGAATTCCGTCCTAAAAGTTGTTCCTATATACCATTTTACAATTTAGTTTTAATACAGTTTTTGCTTACTTGTTTAGATGATCTAGGTTCCAGTAGCAATGAATGTTCCGAGACCTACAGGGGAAAAGGAATATTCTCTGAGCCTGAAACAAAAAGTTTAAGCGAATACCTGACAAATATGAAAGATGAATTACTAGTCTACTTATGCTTCCACAGCTACAGCCAAGTATTGATGATACCATACGGTCTCAAAGGAATGGTAGCTGACAATGAGCCTGCACTGGTAAGTCGAAAATGTCAAAAAATTACATCACTATGTAAAACATGTGCTAAATTATTTTATTTTAACGAAATGTAAGTGATTTTTTAAAGAACACTTGCTTTAATTTCCACACCTGACGGACGGACGAATAGACGGAGGCAGACGGTCAGACAGACGCTGACACAGTGACAAACAGCCAGAGACAGATACACGAATGTTTTTTCGTCCAGAAGCGTGTTCTTAATTTGAATCAATTTTTATCATTTCTCACTTTTATGTAAAACATTGTTCTATGTTCTATTCCAGAGGGAGATTGGGGATAAAGCAATCGAGGTTCTTAAACAACGACACAACACGCAGTATGAATTTGGTCCAATCTATGAAGCTATAAAATGTAAAGTATTATTTTTGTACATTTAATGTAAGCTGTGTATGTGTTACATAATGTTCGTTTGTGTATGTTTTACAAAACATTAGTAAAACTAACTCGACATTTCACACATAAACAGTTTTTATTAATAGTTATTTAAGGTGACTTTTAAAATACAAGGTGTAATTAATCGGCCCAAAATTACGGCTTTTAGGAGAGTCCTTGCCTGGTTTAGGGATAGGGATTACACGAGTGTCGCGCCATTAGCCACGGAAAGATTGCGAGTTCCAGATGCCGTTGTAAATTTTCAAAAGGTATTCGATGTGTCATTTCGGAAAATACTCCAACAGTATGAGGAACTGTATCCGGGCCTAGTGTAAATGTTTTACTATTTTTGTAAAAACATTATGCTCATCCAGCAGAAATAGTTGATTAAGTGGATCACTGTTACCACGTAGGAAGGGTTGGATGATTTTTGGGGTTGCTAGGGATATAGATGTCCTACTTTTGTGTACATCCAGTTAGGATACCGACGGATCGCTTGCGATCTATGTACTGCTACAACTAAGCATATAGAGGAGACTTATTTCTGAAAGGATAATTCACACATATTGTTGCTGGAAATGGTAGCAAATTCATATGCCACAGCAAATGAAAATGCTTGTAAGGAGTAATTTTAAACACTATCATGAACTTTTATTTCACATATTTTCTTCTTTTGAAACATCAAGACACATATATACATATTTTGCGTTTCTTATTAGAATAAATTCCGTTCCTTAAGCATTACAATGAATTATACTGATACGTTGGATATCCCATTTATTACACATCTGAGCAGTTTTCACAACACTACAATGTTTCGTGGATTAATTTATCGACATCTTCAGGTGGAAGTTTAGTACTATCTATATGATATTTATTTTTATTATCTAAAAGTTATTTTATTTAGTTCTCTCATTTTGTGTCAAGAAACTGTTTCATTTAGACACTTTAAATTTCGCTTACTAAATCAATAAACATCGTAATAGTCAAATATTTAGGCTAAAATGAAGAATTTTGCAGTTATAATTTAAGAAAAAAAAGTTGTTTATAATTCTGACCTTTTCTCCCCAATTTAAAAATAAAAGAGTTGTCTTATTGCAGGAGGATTAGTTTCAACTTTTATTGAACAATAAGTTACGAGAAACTTGAGCATCGCGGCTTTCTACATCAAATATGTTCTCTTGTTTGTAAAAGATAAATACACTATGTGATTAAATGTGATTTGCGGAAATTTCAATTTGAAAGTTGACTTTGGCTTACCGATTGACAGGAACATGCTCTAGAATTAAAAAGAAATTACATTTCGAGACTTGTCTAATATGAGGCATTGAGAGTCAAAACTTGGGCTGCCCGAGCCTGACGCGAGAGAAAGAGTTGAGTAACTGCCACCTACACTTCGACATCTTACTCAAACGGCAGATTGCGTTTGATCCACTAGCGTCTCGTACATTATTTTGCTAACAAACAAGCAATGTAATATTTTTTTAACAAAAGAACCAAAAATGTACATCCATTTATTATTAAACATTCGTTCACAGATGAGGCCAGCGGCGGGAGCATGGACTGGGTGAAAGAAGAACTGAAAGTCAAATATACTTTCGAATGGGAATTGCGTGACAAAGGACGCTATGGCTTCCTGCTGCCTTCCAATCAGATCATCCCCACGGCGGATGAAACCATCGACTCAATCGTGTCAATTCTGCAGGATGTGCAAGCGCGAGAAGCAAACAATTCGTGAACCTTCGTCGTTCAACACATCACAACATTGCAAAGAAATCCTTGTATTTAGACCGCTGTCACAATTGACCAAAAAATTAATGGTCTACATATTTTCAGGAATGAGCTGCTATAGCATTATAGATTCGCAACATTGTAGGGCACTTGATAAACGAATGAAATATAACAAAAATTTCGTTAAAATTGTATTATTGTATGTATGCAAATGTTTATGTTGTTCTTGAGGATTGTAATACTTTTGTAAGCAGAATGTTTTTGACGGTTGTATAATATATTATTATTATTATCAATATTATTATTATCATCATTATTATTTTTATTTTTATTATAATTCCCCCTCTTATTCATGACTAAAGATTTTATGAGCCGGTTGAATATAAAATCTACTCCCGATTGCAACTCGCATTCCAAGGAGCAGATCAAGGAACTCTCGGTTTCTCTGCAATTCTTTGCGCAAAATGTGGGCTGTTCCCAATAAAGCAATTCTTGCACTCCCCACTATTTTGAATGACCATTCTTTGCACTCCCCACAATTTTGAATAACCATCATACGACCGATATTAAACTACGACACCATACTATGAATATTAAACCTACTTCAGGTGGCATCCATCTTCCTAAGGAACAGATCTAGGGACTGTCGGTGACTCTACAATACATTGCCCAAAATGTGGGCTGCCCCCATGAAGCAATGCCTTGCACTTCTCAGTCTTTTGAATGACCTGGGGGTTTAGCCAAGTTCTAACACAAATTTTACGGAACAAATTCCAGAGCTGCTATAACTATAGAGACCTGTGCTTCACATTTGGCTGATCTCTATTTCCAGACTCTTGTATTAAAGACTTTTCTTGATTACGAAGTTTTGATGGCACGGCACAGCAATATCTACAAGACACTTTTTATAAATCTGGATAACAAAATCCTGTTTGTTTGCCGCTATCATGCGATCAGATTGAATTTGTTTGTCGTACAACATTCTACAATGTCCAACAGACCTCGCCGGCTGTTGTGAGTGATCGTTACACTTGGAGCATGTGTTTGGATTTTCGAATTTGTCACAGATCTGCCAGTGTAACTACACACCCCATCGAATCTTTTCAAATATTCGGCCATTCCCAAAATTGGACAAACTGAGACGATATGATCAATGGTTTCAACTTTCTGGTAAATGCAGCGCTTATCTCGGGAAATTTTGAGAACAGCTTTATCATAATAATAGCTTTATTATCGTAGAGACAGTTCGTGGCTCAGAGCGAAGTCTTTCACCAAGCAGAACCGGGATCGATTCTCCAACAAGCTCATGTTAAATTTGTTCCAACAAAACGGGTTTGCTTGCTTCACAAGGGTTATACCAACCTCACTGAAGTGTCTAAACCTTACCCCTGTCCTAATTCCTTCGCCATTCTGGCCGCTGGGTAGTGACGCAGGAGCGCATGTAGCCTAAGAGGCGCGTACGCCGAAATGCTACCTGGCGGTCCCTTGACACATAACTGACGAGAATATTAAAGGAGGATAACTCCCAACTACTGACTATGACAAGTAAAACTAATGGGGGATTACTCCTATGCACATAATGCTTACACAATGCCTTAGAGACGCGTTGTGCCGATCAAGACGCAACAAACTTTAAAAAATGTGTGTTCTCAACGCCTGATATACGGCAGCTATTGCAGCTGCTTCCGATTCTGGCTTCATTATCTCCCTTTTAAGCCGCATAAACGATTGATATTTATTGATCTGCACATTGTCCATTCTTTTTAAATATTGTGGTTTGTCTGACCACGATTTCTTTAACGTATTTTGTGCCTCATATTTTATGTGTAGTAGCATCAGAAGTTGTGGCTGCATAGTTTTCTTTGCAATGCTCTTGCTATATTTCCAATAACTCTGTTTCCAATTCTTCGGTGAGACCAGCCTCATTAATGTGTCATCTTCATGGTTGACATCCGATTTCCCATTCCGATTGTGCCAGGAGGCTTCAATTTGTCTGAGGCCTCTTCCTCCTTCCTTACGTGGCACAGAGTCTATGTACCTCAGCTCAAGGGTGAACGATATGGCGTGGCGAGGGTGATGATTGTAAGCAGTGCTTTGGTTCTTCGATCCTTGATTTAAAATGAGTTCTTGCTCAGTCCAGTGAAGTAGCCCGAAACTTTCGTTGGCTACAGACACAGCCAAACTCCCCATATATATATTATTCTAGGGGTTCAGAGTGAACTGGAGGACAAGTATCACTCTTCTGTAATACTCCCTGCAAATACTTCCTTTCGTTGTTCCGTTCGAGATGTTCTCACATTTCTCAATGCCCAGATATTTGTACGTTTTACCTGGCCCACAATCTTGATCAGAGTGTGAAAATCAACTACAATGCTCTCTGATGTTGTCACTTTGCCTCTCATGGACACGACTTTTTCACATTTTTGAGACCAAATTTCATGCAGATATCATTGCTAAAATTATTCACGACAGATTGCATTTGGGAGAGAATCGCTTTATTCTTAGCTAAAACTTTAATATCATCCATGTAAAATAAATGTGATACTGGTCTTTCATCACCATGGAGCTTGTAACCAAAGTCCGTGTGCGACAACTGTCTAGATCAGGGTTAGCCAACTGGCGGCCCGCGGCGCCATTTATTGTGGCACGCGAAAGGTTATTAGTCAAAAGTTAGTCTGTAGATTGCATGTCGGACGAGAATATTGCGCTCCTAAGGTGTGCGCCTTACCGGAGTTAACATCCCCTTAATAAAAACTAAGTTAAGTTTAAATTTAAGAATATTTTTTCTAAAAACACAAAAAAGAAACAAACAGAAATGCACAATCATCCCAATGTGTTTTATTGCATTACGCATGGTAACACCTAATATTACGAATCGTCCCATTCCTCCCCTCTCCCGTTTCAGATCAGCCGGACAAACTGCTGAGACCAACAGTACGAGGAAGTCAGGTGTGGATCCCTCGACTACTGTAAATATGGCACGCAACCATATTCCAGGGTTTTAGTTGTGGTTCTAGAGGCATTGCAAGTTGGACATCCCTGGTCTAGATATTGAAATCAAAAATAATGCAAAACAGCAGAGGGGATAGAGAAACGCCTTAAAAATTCACTAGTTAATCTGAATACTTGTTTCTACTATTTCCTTTCCGCTGTGTATTAGCAAACCTGGTATTCCACGACTACATTCTAGCCTTGCAAAACTCAATGAGTCTAGGATGAAATCGATAGATCTCCAGGGTCTTCAAAATCTCGTGTGGTTGACTGTCAAAAGCCTTCTGGTAGTCAATCTGAGCCATGCTTTATTTTTGGTTTCCTTATATCATTCAAGATGTATTATTATTATTATTATTATTATTATTACTGCTATTACTACTACTATTATTATTATTATTAATATTATTATTATTATTATTATTATTATTATTATTATTAATATTTTTAAGGTGAGAAAAATGCTTTGTGCACCACAAGATTCAGAAAACCCGTGTGTGATACTCCCTACCTACTAAAACCCCCTCCGTTCCAGCCAGAATGTCTTAGCAAGGAATCGCAGCTATGGCGTTTCATCTGGTCAGACTGGCTTGGTGATCTCTAGGATCCTTCTAATCCGGTCCTCTGAGGGCTTCTTCTTTCTTCTTCACAACTGTTTTCTCGTTGTTATGAATTTTTGCCCAGTTTTCTTCTGTTTCTAGCATTTCTTCTACCACGTTTTTGGTGAGATATCCTTTCCAATACTGAAGTTGGTTATTTCTCTGTCTACTTCAAAATTTCAGCAGTAAAATAACACATGGTCTGCGTTATCTTCTGTTCCATAGGTGGTACACATGTTGTCCTCTTTCTTTTTGAATCGGAATAAGTAGTTTCTGAAACTTCCATGGCCTGTGAATGATTGTGTGAGGTAGCAACCGGTCTCACCGTGCTTTCGTCCCTCCAATTTTTAAATCTTCTGTATTAGACTATAAGCCAATCTTCTTGTAGTTTTTCTCCAACGGTCTTGCCACATCTGAAAGAGCTCTCTCGCTACCTTCTTCACCCTTTCTTTCTTCTTCCTTTCTAGAGTCTGCATTTCTTTCAGGTTTTCTTTAATTTATCAGAAGGTCGATAGGAGGTACGCTTGCTAGCACAAGGACGGCACTTTCAAAGACTGTTCGACGTTTGAGAGATTTTTAGGCAGAGATGATCCTCAGTGCTACCTCTCTCTGTACCGACAGCAGCGTTCTCCTATACTTTTCTACTTTCATAGCGTCCGCCCATGCCGGAGCTGCATATAACATTTCCGACAGGACTGACCCTGCTACCGTCTTTTATCGCGAACCCTTAAGAGTCGGCATTACATTTCCTCCCGCTTCCATTGCATTCTAGCATTTTGCCCATGGTATCCAGAATGCAGGTGGGTCTATGCGATGATGCACTATCCATTAGCTTATGTCCCTTCCTTCATAGTACAAGCGTCTGACGCTTCCAGTTATTGACAAAGCCTCAATATCTCATACAGGCATTGAAGACCAATATATAATTTCCAATAGAAGGTCCGGATACTCTTTAATTACTACTTTCAGTACCTCGTTCAGTATCCTGTCCAACCCAGGTAATTTGCCTGCCTTCAGGCATTTACCAAATTCTTGCAGTTCGTGTTTGCCTCTACCGCTTTGTTATAGCTGTTCCTTTTCCTTTTTGGGTATTTGGGAAATAGATGTCTAATTATTTCTTCGACCAGCTTTTTTCATTTAGAGCAGAGATAATTCCGCCTCCCATTCAACTTAAAGCAATTTTGTAATTCATGCCTCACAGATCGTTTTCAACATCTACTATCAGCTTTCTCCAGCACATGTCCTTACTTCTTCTTATTGCGCGGTTGAGTTTGTTCCTCTTCCGCTTGTAATCCCTTTTCAGATGTTCATCCCCTTTCGCCTTCGTACATCTACTTCTGGCTGCTACACAATCACTCCTTAGGAGAGCTATTTCCCGTGTTCACCAAAATTTTGGTCCCCTACGATAGTTGCTGACTGTCTTTAGGGGCATCGATAGACTGCAGGCCTCTGAATAACCGTTCCATCCCTTTCTGCCATTCTGTCTATTGTTTGGGAACCCCTCCCCCGTAGCTCTTGAAGGTACCTAGATTCTGTGAGGGATCTTTTTACATTCTCTTCGTTGAATTTCCGAG